TCGACGCGCACGATCTCCGCAGAGGGCTACGCGCGCCAAATCCTAAACGCGATCTCACCTGCATTTCGCGCCCTCGACGCGCACGATCTCCGCAAGGGTTGCGCGCGCCAAATCCAAATCGCGATCTCACCTGCATTTCGCGCCCTCGACACGCACGATCTCCGCAGAGGGTTGCGCCGGACCGGGCAAAAAAACGTAATCTCACCTGCATTTCGCGCCCTTGACAAGCACGATCTCCGCAGAGGGTTGCGTTTCGTGGCGCTCCGGCACCACCGCCCCCGGCCTTAAGAGAGAAAGAAAAGAAGAGCGACAGGATACGCAGATGTGAGATGCGCCGATGTGAAGATGTGAAGATGTAGATGCGCAGATGTGAAGATGTGACGATGTAGATGTACAGATGTGAAGATGTGCAGATGTGAAGATGTGAAGATGAGCAGAGATGTAGATGCGCAGATGTGAAGATGAGCAGAGATGTAGATGTGCAAATGTAGATGCGCAGATGTGAAGATGTGAAGATGAGCAGAGATGTAGATGTGCAGATTTGAAGATGAGCAGAGATGTAGATGTCCAGATGTAGATGTGCAGATGTGAAGATGTGAAGATGTAGATGAGACGTAGTTCTACAAATGCTGTTTTACGAAAAACCCTTCGCAGACGCTCTCGGGAAAAAAGCAACCGATCGAACTTTATCGTTCACAAGGGCTCATGTGGCTTCGTCAAAAAACGTCAAAAATAGAGGCAAATTATCAAAAATGGCTAGTGTAAAGCTTATAGCTTCAAACGTCTAGAAAATAAAGCATTGAAAATGGATACAAATTTTGAGGACAAATTTTGGTCGAGCATCATTATATAACATCAGCAGAGTCTCAGCAGGAAAGATGCAAATCCTTTGGCGCATGACTAGGCGCAAAACACTGTAAATTACAGTGCTTTTGCAGAATGTAATGGTTTATGAACTATGCTGCTTGTACTCTGGTGACGCCAACGGTGCTCGACACAAATGCCACCGCAAAACTTCCTCTCTCTCCTTTGCATATTTTCTTCTCTAAAGATAAAGCTTTACAGTAGCCATTTTTGTACGGTTTCCTGTTTGTGACCTTTTTTTACGTAAATATGTACGTCCTGGGTGATGTTCAAAATGCCGGTTTACGGCCGAGGCTTATATGGCTTCTTCAAATATTAGGACTTTGCAGTGGAAAACGCAGAAATAATGTGGGGGTTGTTCTAAAACCTAAGTGCAGGGCACAATGCTGAAAAGCTCTTGCGCTCGCCCTTGCGCCTTCTTGCGCCTATGGGTGTTTTTACATCTTTTGAATAATCCTATTGTTTTAATATTAGCAAGAAAAAGTGGCGCGCCGGAGCCGGAAATTTAGTAGTAGTAGTAGTAGTTGTTGTTGTTGTCGTTGTTGTTGTGGTTGTCGTCGTCGTCGACGTGGCCGTGGTCGTGGTAGTGGTAGTAGTAGTGGTGGTAGTAGTAGTAGTAGTAGATGATAGATATATATATATATATAAACCTTGCGCTCGCCCTTGCGCCTTCTTGCGCCTACCAGGTAAGAACAACCAATGGATCAATCTTTCTGACATGTCCTCTCTAAAGCCTGTCTCTATGCCAAGGAAGGTTTCGATCGGCTCTCAACTGTATTTTTGAGCACTTTTAGCCTAAAGCTATCTGTGTTGACAGGGTTCGTGGACGCAAAGGTGGCTCCAAAACGTGCGCGCTCGTGTGCGTGCGTGTGCGCGCGCGAGTGCGTGTGCGTTCGTGTGCGTGCGGGCGCGTGTGCGGGTTGAAGCTGAGGTTGCCAGGCTTTTTACATCAGACCCTCGTGCGCACACCTGTGTGGGAGTGTGTATGCGCAGGAATCAGAAGCTGTGCTAACTGTCGGTTTTGCTGCGCAAAGAGCCTGCAGATACGCTGGTTGGCGAAGCCTGTCAGTAAACGCTGGCCTTGCTTCACAACTGAATCAACATCAAAAGCAGGTCCTGACAAAAATCCTGCAGTTCAAGAGGAGGGCTGGAGTACACCTGCAGCGTTCTCAAGTGTTCTACGACTCTGGCTGTCATATCAAACCACTTAGTCCTTTGCTACGACAGAGGCTCTGCAACTTGGCACGGCAGCCGGCGCACGGTGGCTGAGCAGCCGCCTCCATGTCTTTTCCACTCGCGGCGTGTGCTCTGTTTGCTCTGGCCACGCAACCAAAACCCGAAGACGCCAAGAAACGTGGAACAACACTGGCTTTGCAAGTCCCCATCTTCACAGCAAAAAAGCTAAAGGCAATGCCAGGTTAGGGTTCAAGGTAGTGCGCAAATTGAGAAGTCTCGTGTCAACAAAAAAAGGAAAAAAGAATCACTATATAGTCACTATATAGTGTTTAGAGTGTCTGAACCTTCGGATCTCAGAGCGGAGACCTCGTGGCTCTCAGAGCGAATGACTGTTTCGGCGACGAGGAGACCTCGTTCCAAGCGGCCACTGGGGTCTGTACGGGCCGAATGAATTTGAAAGGTGTTCGAGCACACAAAGAATTCGGAAGACTCCGGAAGAAGCCAGTTCCACACACAAAACAAGAAGGCGCCCCAAAAACACACGTAAATGATACAAAATCAAGAGCAACAAGCAAACAACGAACAACAAAATAATGACATGACAACCTCTAGATGCTTGGCGTGCTGGGCGTTTCCGGTGTTCTCCTCACCAGATCGATTCCTGGAGGATCCAGCTCGACTTGACCGAGTCCGTCGACCGCTACCGTTGGGCGGCGCGCTGGGCGCGCGCCGTCGGCCAGGGTCGTCTCGCGACGAAGGCGGTCGAAAGCGTCTCGCGATGTGTTTGACATGGTCCAGATGTGAACATCATCTAAAGATCTTCTGAACATGTTCTGATTTGACCCAAGAAGGATCCTTTGATGTTCTGACTGCCAACGTTCTTTTTGCAAGAAAGATGCCCTGGCCAACTGCGGAAAAAGAGGGATCCCTCACAGTGTGAGCCAGTCGCATTCGAAGGCCCCTCACAGCTCAGGCTGCACTTGCAAGCAGGCGCAAGAAACATGGAGAATAAAATAGACTTCTGGAGAAGGTTCATCAGCTGGATCAGCCCCTCCAGATTAACCGCTGGGTCTGCTGATGCTGGGTTCCTCAAAGACTGACCTTGGATCATGATGTACATGGGCAATTTTCGTCTCGACTACGTAGGACCACACTGCAAGAACAGAACGAGTGAAGAACATTGCTGGGCATCTCACCAATTGCACTGTTCCATGAGGTCTGAGTAGAATGAGACATTTGTCCAGAAACGCAGCCGGACACCGTTTTTGACCACAGCACCGACTCGAAAGCACCAAACCTTACGGGTAGCCTCGAGCACCGAGCAACATGCACCTGCCTTCAGACGGGCACGTGGCTGAAGGACTGTGCCAGCCATCGCCATGAGGATTTGATCGAAGAAAGGACCGACGTAGTCCCACTAACGGACAGAGGGTAGAAATATATGTAGAAATCACTGGCTGGCATGTTTCCAGCTGGTGGGGCAGCCTGATATCGTCAGTCACTGGCCTTACTCACAAAGAAATTCTGTTGCACGATGCTTCTCGCACGGTGCTTCTCGCACTCTTCGCTCCAATTGAAATTGGAAACACGGCCCCTGATCTCGCAACTGCGTTCCTGGTCTTTTCGGTGAAGAACTTCGGTCGACTCAAAACTTCGCTCCACTCCTTCGGCCGTCGTTGGAATCAAAATTAATCAAAGAGAGGCACGAAGAGACCAGAGGCCGGACCAGTGGGGTGCTTTCTTGAGTTGCACCTAGTCTTCTTTTGTCCAGCTTAAAGATTTTATTCTCTGAGGCGTAACCAGAAACTCAACAGCCAGGTTCCAGCCACATGCAGAGACTCACGGCTCGCCTCAGACGCTTCGGACCTGACAAGTGTCAGTCGAAATCGGGTGAAACGGGTGGCGACAACGGTGAAAGCTCAGCTCACCGGGTCGTCTGGTACGTCCTGTGCTAACCGTACGCCAGGACTACTGTTCTTGGTACCGCCACGAGGTACGTGTCACGATCAGCTGCATTTCAGGTGTCAAAGAATTCAATGCAGCCTGAGGGACACCCGGTCGTCCATCGCCCAAAAGAAACCAGAAAAACAAAGAGGAGAACACAGCAAAAGCAACATGGGACCCATCATGCTTGGTCGTTGCTAAGGGATCTTCTTCAAAATGTCATCTCAACCAGGGCTCTCCCAATCAAAAACCCTAGACGTCCCACACGAATCCCCTCGCTGGGCGGGGTGGCGGAGTTCATTCGACGAGTGGCACTCCACATCAATTCTCGTGTCCCAACCTTACAGTGGTCATCAGTGGCCAACAACAACTCAGCAGGATCTAGACAGTATATACAGAGGGAGGGAGAGAGGGAGGGAGAGAGGGAGGGGGGAGAGAGAGAGAGAGGGAGATGCTACTGCTACTGCTACCGGTAACCTGAGAAGAAGGGAGGGGACGAAAGCCAGCCCTCGTAGAGATTGGGAACAACAAGAAGCAATTTGCCGCGGTATTTTGAACCGTCACTTTTGCTGGTAGCGCATGGCATCAACGGCCAAGTAAGGTTATTGTGGGTGAGACAATACATTATATTTTGGTTTGAAATGGCTACAAGCATCACCTAGGCGCTGCTACAACGACATCTTTGTCGACTCATGCCACGAGGCTTTTATCCTCCAGTCACGCGCGTTGATGGACATAGACAGTTTATGGTTTCAACACCAAAAGGATGAAACAAGTCAGGATAATCCGGCCAAATTGAAAAGTACAAATGATGAAGTTTGAGGTTGGAGGCCATCGTTACTAGGTTGGAGGCCATTGCTAGTAGGTTGGAGGACATCGCCAAAATGTCCAACACAGGTCCACCGACTTATGGATCGCCACTGCTAACCGGACTTAGACCTGGTCCAGTGAGATCTCGACACTCATCAGGTCACAGCCTGTGTATTTTTCTAAACAATGTGGTAACACTAGGGGCTCTTACGGTGACAGTTAAGGCCGGGCTTTGTAAAACCTGTGGTTGTTCAAAGAATACAGACTGCTTCGAGGCTTCCAAGCCACATGGCGCTGAAAAAGGGCAGCGCTTACCACTGCTCTTTGAAAGCCAGGCTCGAGCTTTGATGGAGGAAAAAACACATGCGTTCTGCGCAGTATATGCACGCACCTGTAAAAATATGTGTCGAAACACTCATGTGCTTACACCTGCAGCTGTATCTTCCAAGCCCCCGCAAATTTTATGCTCTCTGAGAAAAGATTGTTTGTTTGGGGAAGTGGCGACAATTATTGCCTGTGAGCGGTTTTTGACGTTGTAGCTGTGGTGAATGTTGGGAGCTGTTGTACTTTCAACGTATTTTCCTCACAGCTGCTTGGGGAACCTAGCTAGATCCCAGAAGAAAGCCCTCCTTTACTGCTGCCCTTCTTGTCTTCCCCAAAGCCGTGACAAAACGATCAGTTGGGCGCCGCCACACAGACGCCACCTGCTTGGGCAATACAGAAAACGCTTCTGTGCTGATACCAATGAGGTTTTTGTAGCGATCACACACCTGCTTAAATCAGCTTGTCTTTGCGGCCGAGGTCCCGCGTCCATGTTTGCTACAAAACTGCTGTCCACTGTCCACGGTTTGCGCTGCTAATGATGCACTATTCAACCTTTTTCCATTAGAGCGACCAAACAAAAAAACCATGTGTGGTGCACGGTGCACATGAAGGTCAACGAAAGCGAAAGGAAAGTGAACCAAGCAGGACCCTGACTCAGCCTTGATATCCTCACATGGCCACAAACATGGCTGGGCGAATGGCCACAAGACTGCTTTTCAACAGCTTGAGTTAAACATGGGTAAACCGGATTTTCAGCTCTCAAGCATGCGATCTGGCACTCAACATCAACGCCCAAATTTCACAAAGTGGATTCTTAAAGCACTGCGCACTCCAGGCGGCCAAGGCAAGGAGGGTTCCCAGGGTTCTATTGTTTTCCAGTTTGGATGGTGTGGGTGCGATGGTGGTGGAGCCTTTGGGGGTATGAACAATCTCGCTGAAAACAATCAGACCACACACCAACGCTTTCTGAAAGTTCCATGGCTGCCAGATTCGACGTCACTCGTGCAATGCGTCGTGAAACATGTATGCAACATGAACACCTGCGACCCGCTCACCTTATATTTTTGGCCCTCCACCCACACTCATGAAAGTGCCCACATGTGAAAGTGCCTTACAATGTAACACATCGACCAAACTTCCCGAACTTCTTGCCCAAAACTTCTTGCCGCCCGAAACGGCCGCTGAAACTGCTGCCTGGAAGCTCAATGTCGCGACAGACCTTGCCTTCGCTTCAAGCGCCGGTCGTCATACTTCCGGTTCAATCGTTCGCGCCGGGCCTCGTCCTTCGTACAATAGTGGCAGAACTTGCCTCGGGTGATCCCATCGGATCTCACGCTGAGCGAGCGGTCCAAAACCGCTCACTGAGCGCTCAACGAAAAACAGCGGAAGCTGGTGGGACCCGTGTGATTCCGGACGAGCATAAGCTGCACCAAACAGAAGATGGGTGCACCAGACAGAAAGGACAGTACATCGTAGTAATTACTGCTGTTGCCACAGCTGCCACAAGTATGCCAACACCCAATTTTCAGACATTGGTCATCAATAGCTTTGCGATGCCAAACAACAAAAAGACAGTTGGCAGATGTTGAAACATGTTGAAAGACATCTGACATGTTTGCATCGGTCAAACGAAATCGCCACGATCTTAGCACGAAGCAGAGCCGTAATTGGTGCCACCAGCTGAAGGGTCTTGGCTGGTGGATGCCTTCGCTTGAAAATCCAAACGGATGGGCTGGAGAACTCTGAACAAGCAAATCTTAGTTATGATGGGTGACGGGTTTCAACGGCGAGAATGGATGTTCCTGCCCATGATCGGACCTCTTCTTCTCTCAGTTGCAAGCATTCCCAATGCGGCATCCTTCCTCCTTCGCGTGGAAGAAGCGGCAGGGCTTGCAGCTGCCGTT